TTATGCTTAAACAAAACCATATGATCCACCCAGTCATTCTGACAGACTGTAATACACTACAGGAAGTGTAGGGGGCGATATGGCTTCTACTGTTTCATTTAAAAAGCCTCTATAATGTTCATATGATCCACACAGTCACTCTGATGGATTGTATATTGACAGATCCATCTAAATAAGTTTTTAAAAGAGTTTTTTTGGAGTTTTAAGATGTTATTCTAATCATTTTTCTAAACTCTTCTCTTTACAGTTCGCTTTAAAGAAACCAAATGCAGTTCTGTATAAAAAGTAAGTTATTCTATTTAACATGGATGTTTTTTATTGTCTTATTTTTTTAGTCACTTAGCCTGTATTTACTGTCATTATTGTAATTACTATTATTAATGTTGAAAATATAATCTCTCTTCAGGAAGAACATTATGAGGCCGTTTGAAGACTCCACGTCACTGGTGAGTTTGGGACCTGCAGAGTGAGAGATTTAAGCTGTTTCCCTCTGTGTTTAGCACGTCTTTAAAGGCCGTTACGCTCCGAACACAACATGGAGAAACAGCACACAAATGTGAAATATTCAGATGCAGTTTATCGCATTCAGAACTAAACACATGATTTATTTTAGAATTGTTTGCATCGTGGGAAAAGAAGCAGGTAGAATATCTATCAGAAGGTCCTTTGCTTCTCACAAAACAGGCAGGCTGTGGCCGTGTGCAGGATGGTTTTTTGGAGAAGCGAGAGGAGAACTGAGAGTTTCTCCTCACTCAGGAGCTGAAACTGTACGAGCTCTTTCACTCTCAGCTCTGATCTCTGTAGCTCAGTCTGAGCTGATTCTGGAGATGAAGCTCCACACCAGACGCAGCTCAAAACAAACAGGCCCAAATCCACATGGTTTACTCCTCACAGAACGAGGAGACGGTGACCCTCACTGTCCAGTTCGAACAGTGAAAGTGGCTCTCAGAGCTTCATCACTTCATTCAGGACGTCTGCAGCTGCTTTTGGAGATTCTGATCCTTTTAGCGTTTGAGAAAAAGTGCTCTACTGTTTGTTGTCATGCCACAGCAGCGGCAACCGTGATTGGTCAGAGAGTTCATGTTGGCGGCGAATACAATAATGTTGAATTCCAGCGTTGGGTTTGGTGTGAAGGAAACCATCAGTTATACATGAGGTCGAATTAATGAACTGTCTGAATGAATCACGCTTGGTGGGTAAAGGTTTTAACTTTGTTGTTTCCCTCTTTCAGGAATTCTTCTCCAAGAAGACGGACTCCTCCCTGTTTTTGTTCGGCTCACACAATAAGAAAAGACCCAATAACCTCGTATTTGGTAAGAACTCGTCTCCCTCTGCTCTGCACCGTAAACAGAGGTAATCCAGTCGCACAGCTTTGATTTAGGCCCGAAATATACTTCACACAACGGTGCTTTGAGCTATGCAGACGAGGTTTCGCGCTTTTCGTAACACAACACAAGAGTGAGCTGCATTCTGAGTGTTACAGCAGGGGGCGCTACAACGACAGCCACGCCTGACCAAGCGGTCTCAGACCGCCAGCGTGTTTCTGAACTGCCACAGCAGATGAGGAGCCGAGTCTCACCAAAGTCGGCTTACATAATCATAAAAATATGATCCGTTATGGTCTTTCAGTTCCAGCAGAAGAGCTGAAGCAGCTCACTCTCCTCTGCTGCCCACGTTCAGCTGCTGAGGCTGCTGGAACAACAGTAGATCCTCTCTAGCGCCCCCTTCAGTACGGAGTGTTTTAACCTCCACAGTAACGTAAGACTGCACGGTGAGTTTGTACAGAAGACCAGAGCGTGTTCAGTGTGTCGAGCGCTGTCATCTGCGTTTGCGTTCTTGCATTGAGTCTGTTTCTGGCCTAATTCTGATAATCCCATCATGCAGCAGTGCTGCAGCTGCAGATTATTTCTGTAGTGGATTAATCTGTCGACTATTGTGTCCTTTTGCACTCTTAACACTGTAGGACTGGAATAGTCTGATTGTTTGAGAGGTGAGTGCTGTGTGAATGATTTTTTCATCAAGCTTTAGCCTTAGAGAGGAAATCACTCTGTGAGTAGGGCTGTCTGATGTCACAGTGACAATATAAGAAGCGCTAGATTGTTATTAAAATATTCCACCTCTGACTGGATGGGACACAAGTACAGATTTATTTATTTAATTTTTATTTTTTGGTAATGTAAACGGAACTCTAACTAGCCTCCCCTCCTTAAGCAAATAATACAATTCTAAATTATGAAAGAACTGTTCACTGTTGTGCTAAATAAAAGAAATGAAATACTAACAGCTGCTTACGTCAGAACTGAGAGCACATTAAAACACAGCACTGTGCGTGAGGACAGTCCTACTGTGTGATGTGTTTTGCAGGTGGTTTTCAGGATGGAGGAGCGTTTGAGCTGCTCTGTGTGTTTGTAATTGGCTGTTTAGCCTGATGGTTAAGTCACTCATTAGAGATCAGAGTTCAATCCCAGCACACTGAAGCTCTCATTAGGCTTCTAACAGTCTGTGCCAGTAACCTAATGGCGTCTCTCTGGCGCTGCGTGTATGAGGTAATTTGATCTGTCATCACTGCTCTTAACAGTGTGTACATCACGATAATGATAAAAATACGATTTATCGTGCAGACCTACTGTGTAGCTTCAAAAAGGGGGTGTTGTGTTTATTTTGTGTCTCGGTCTCACTGACCGTCTGTTTGTTTTGCAGGTCGTATGTTTGATTTCCATGTGCTGGACATGTTCGAGCTCGGCATTGAGAAGTTCAAGTCTCTGAAAGACATCAAGGTGAGGATGGTGTTCGCTGAAAGTGTTTTACGTTTCATCCGAGATCTATAAAGATGATGGTGATTAAGTCCAGTGATGCTCGTCTAGATCAATTAAATGTTCGAGCAGAATGAATCAAACGCTCTGATCTGATTTGATGTTTAAAAACCCAGCTATGAGGAATGTTGATGGGATTGGACAGTAACCAAGTCCTTACTGGAAAATCTGTCCACTTGGTCATTTTAGCGTTTGTAGCAGTAATGCTAACCAATCGGTTAACCAATAAACGGTGAATAAATAAAGCCTCTTTCTCTCTCTCTCTTTCTATCTTTCTATCTCTCTCTCTCTCTCTCTCTCTCTGTCTCTCTCTCTCTCTGTAGAATGATAAGTGTGCAGAGGGCACTAAGCCCATGTTGGTGTTTGCCGGTGAGCTTTTTGACACAGATAATGAACTCTCACGCCTCCGCAACGTCCTGACAGGTACAACACCCCCCCGCACACACACACACACACACACACACACACACACACACACACACACAGAAAATAGAAATAAAACCAATAATGCACCCTTAAAAGTAAATGATATTAAACTGAAATTGATAAAATAAAGGATTAAAAATGCTAAACTCTGTAGACGGTGTTTTTGAACTAATTCACACACTTTTAAAAATAATTAATATATTCTCTCTCTCTCTCTCTCTCTCTCTCTCTCTCTCTCTCTCTCTCTCTCTCTCTCTCTCTCTCTCTCTCTCTCTCTCTCTCTCTCTCTCTGGTCAGATTTTTTTCGTGGTCCTGCTGTACCCGCAGTACGTTTAGCTGGCCTGGAGCACATTCTCCACTTCACTGCGGCGGACGGGAAGATCTACATGCGGAGCTACAGGTGAGTGACCTGGCTGAAAAGGGGGTGGGGCTACAGGTGAGTGACCTGGCTGAAAAGGGGTGGAGCTACAGATGGATGTCCTGACTGAAAAGTAAGTCATTAAAACTGCAGTGGAAACCAAGTAAAACTAACTAACAAGCGTCTCCCAGACCTTAACGACAGTTAGTGAAGATGCTTCCTTCACACAAAGCAGCGCACATTGAACTAACTCTGTCTGCTGTTCGTTTCTCCTGACCGTGTGGAGCTCAGAAAGGGCCGGAGTGAAACTCTTCCTTCTCCAGTTCAACCTTAATGATAAACCAGACAGTCAGAGCTCGAGTTCGTCCTGTGCTGGAAGCTGTTTGCGTACTGAGAAAACAGAAACTTATTAACAGAAATTAAATGAACATTAATGTCAGTTTTTGATGTACCCCCTACATTGTTTGGCGTACCCCTGGGGGTACAGTGTGGGATCCACTGTGAGGCGGGATGGAAAGTGTAGAATCTGCTCTTTCCACACAGCTTCTCAGCTTCTTTCAGTGAACTCCAGTAAAGAAATAACTCCTGTAAGCCTACAGCGCGACTCTGGTGTTAAAGCCTGTCGTTTCTGCTCAGAGTGCTGCTGAAGAAGTCGGGCTGTCGGACCCCCCGCATCGAACTGGAGGAGATTGGACCCTCGTTTGATTTCGTCCTGAGGAGAACTCACCTGGCCTCAGACGACCTGTACAAGACGGCGCACAGACAGCCGAAAGCACTGAAGGTAACAGCGCAACGACTGTTTATCTGGACTCACTTAATCTGTGGTTATTTTATTGATTAGTGTATTAATCTGATCAGCTGGGCTGGTCAGGTGTTTGTAGGCGCTGACGGTGTTGACTCAGACTGTAATGATGACTGATCACTGTGATCTCACTGCTCAGTACTTTACCTCTGAGCTCCATGCACGTCTGTAGCTGCTGTACAACCCAGCAGGCCTTTCAGTTCTTCATTTACACACAGACGACCACAGTAAACAGCATTTAACAGCTCTTTAAACAGCACAGTCAGCTACAGTGAGTACAGTGACCAGCTGATACTGTTTGAGTGGAAACAGTAATGTAGCTGATTGGAAGGCAGAAGATTGACTTACTACTCCTGCTAATAATAATAAAGATTATTTATAGAGCATATTTTATACATTATAGTGCTCATCAAAGTGATGTTTTAAATAAAATATATATATTTTATATAGCAAATTTCATATGCACTCTTTAAAAAATGATTCTTCAGGGGTTCTTTAGTAAAGACAGTGGTTCTGTATAGAACCATGAACACAGAATGGTTCTGTGGATGATGAAATGGTCCTTCAGATTGATGAAGAATGTATTGTGTGTGTGTGTGTGTGTGTGTGTGTGTGTGTGTGGTTCTATATAGAACCAAAAAGTGTTCATCTATAGTTACAAGCTTGACATCGTAACAATAGAAGAACCCTTTTCAGTGCTACATAGAACCCTTTTCAAAAAGGTTCTATATAGAACCATATACAGCACTTTCTCCATCAATCTGAAGAACGAGTTCCCCATGATGAGAACCATTTAAGCGTGCAAAAGGTTCTTTGAGTATTCATGGTTCTGTACAGAATCCACTGTCTTGATGAAAAAAACATCTTTTCTTAAAAGTGTAGAAACGTAGCAGTTCAGGGTTCTATTTTATTTAAATAGAAAGTCAAAAAAGTAAAAGCAGGAACAGGAAATAAGGAATTAAATTAATAAAATAAAAGAATGAACAGATTAATTAAAAATAAAATAATAAATAGTACAAATGTAAAGTGGATAATTAAATACTGTTTAAATAAATCTTAAGGGTATTAAAGCTGTTGTTTAAATAGCTGAGTATGCGTAATGTATTGTTATTCATTTATTTTAGCGATAATTTTTAAATTTAATAATTCATTCATTTTGCAAGCGCAGGCCTTAAAATAAGTCTGTGCTCAGTTTTCCAGCCTTTTGGGTGCCTTAACTGTGACGTCATCAGTCCTGTGTCTGTAAATGACACTGTTCTGTTTTTCCAGCCCAAGAAGAAGAAGAACATCTCCCACGATGCCTTTGGCACCAAGTACGGCCGCCTGCACATGCAGAAACAGAACCTGGACAAACTGCAGACGAGGAAGATGAAGGGACTGAGGAAGAGGGGCGGAGCGGTAGTCACGGAGAACGGAGAACCCACGTCGCCCAAAAAAGCTAGAACTCGGGAGTAGCTGATCCTCTCTGAGCTCTGACAGGCGGTGCTGACCTGACTGACCTGCTCTGGACTTTACAGCTGGGAGTGTGGAGCGTCTGGAGAAGATGAGCTTTTAGGGTCGTCTCAGACGTTCCTGTAGACCCAGCTGGGCTCCCGTCTCCATATTTCGCCCTTTTTATACATGTTTGTGTTTATTCTGCGTACAGATTACGGTTTGTTGATTTTCTGTATGAAAATAAGTTACACATCGTCCACCGAAGCTGAAATACGGCAGTTATTTCACACTTCTAGTTTTTTGCAGACTTTAACGTTAAATATAAGGTGCCATAACTTTGGCACAGGCTGCCACAATTTTAAGTTTTATTTTGTGTTAAATTCAGTAAATAAACAGTAACCCTGCATTAAACTGTGCAGAAGTGTGTCTCGTTAGAACCGAAGAATCTGACCAGCGTACGACTGTATTGGGATTTATGATCAACACCAGAAGAAGCAAAGCTCCTCCAGCTGGTTTGGTTCTACAGTTACTGACTTGTGCTCAGTGTAAACAACATTATGGGCTGTAGTACGTTTGTTATAACTGGATTATTTACATCATTTCACAACACATACACTCTTAAAAAGATGGTTCTGCAAGGGTTCTTTAGTAAGGAACATACTTCTATTTAGAATGTTATTGCAAAGGATTCTATGTAGCACCTAAAAGGGTTCTTCTGTTGTGATGAGCTTATCATTATAATTATAGAAGAACCCGGAAAGATTCTATAAAGAACCATCCACAGCACGTTCTCCATCAATCTGAAGAACGCTTTCATCATGCAAAGGGTTCTTTGAGTGTTGATATTCTTTACTAAAGAACCCTTGAAGGACCATCTTTTTAAAACTGTACACTCTTAATGATGATTCTTCATGGGGTCTTTACGGAACAATGAACACTCCAAGAACAGTTTGCATGCTTAAAGGGTTCTCTGCATCGTGAAAACGTTCTTCAGCATGATGGAGAATGTTTGATATAGCTATGTAGCACCTAAAGGGGTTCTGCTATGGTTGCGGTGTCAAGCTTGTATGCAATGGCAGAAACCTTTTTGGTGCTAAACAGAAACAGGTTCTCCACCAATCTTAGAACCATTTCACCATGCAGAGAACCATTTAAGCATGCACATGGTTCTTTGAGTGGTCATGGTTCTAAATTAAAGCATTGTCCTTACTGAAGAACCCTGGAAGATCTTTTCTGAGAGTGAACTGAACCTTCATCACCTTCTGTTGTCTTCAAGCTGCAATAAACACTTTGATCCTGTGGTTCTGTGTTCCGTTGTTGGTCGGTTCTCCGTTTGCTCCTCGTTCTGCTGCTGTGAGGTGTGAATGGTCTGGTCAGAAGCTCCAGTGAAGGTGCTGAGTGTCTCTGTTTCATGCACCTAGCGCCAGGGCTTAGCTAGAAACATCACTTCATTAACCTAAAGGAGAATTCCACCCATTTTTCAAAATTTCCACATGATTCAGTGTTTGAAATGTAAACAGAGTCATCGAGATTCTATTTTCTCAATTTGCATACAAGACCCTGATTAGGCTGCCGGGTAGAGCTCCATCATTCAGCCCTGTTAGCAGAATTGTAGGGTTGAATTGTGTTCAACCCTGTTATTCAGTCATTTTTGGTGAAAATAATCTTAAAATGTTTAATTTAGAAGGTTTTGTTACCTGAAGTGTCAATTTAATAATGATATTACTAATACATGAGAAATTGCACTGTTTATGTTTAAAGAGGGTATATATATATATATATATATATATGCTGATTACACAAAGTAATATTTTGAGGCCACCGCTTAATTATATTAATATTATAATATAATAATTATATTAATATTTTAATAGCCTTGCCTTTTTCTAAACACCGTGTCCACTCACTGTCCACTCTATTAGACACTCCTACCTTGTCAGTCCACCTTGTAGATGTAAAGTCAGAGCCGATAGCTCATCTGCTGCTGCACAGTTTGTGTTGGTCATCCTCTAGTCCTTCATCAGTGGTCACAGGACATGAACCATCTACAGCACATTCTCCATCAATCTGAAGAACCATTTAATCATGCAGAGTGTTCTTTGAGTATCCATGGTTCCATATAGGACCATCTTCTTCACTGAAGAACCCTTGAAGAATCTTTTTTTTGAGGGTGTAGGGAAAGGAGGGTGTGGCTTTGTGAGGTCTGTTCTATGTCATAATTAGAAAAATACGTTTGTATAAAATGACTATTTACCCACAATAAAAATAATAGTAATAAAGAAAATAAAAAATATTTAAAAATACATATTTAAAAAATCTAGGGGGCACGTGACCCCCCCTCCCCCTCACCACTCCACCACCGGTAATGTGACCAAAATGTATTAGATGTAACCTGAAGCTAAGAAGCACTGTCATTGCCCGGATAATGCTGTGCTTCTTGCTTTTGTCCACCAGATGGCGCTGTTCTCACTGTAATAAGGTGAGGCGTTGTGAGTGAGCGGGTCTTATTTAAAGTGTACGTGGTTTCCAGGCTTTGTCACTGTGTGCATTGCTATAAACCCTGATTCAGTTCAGTTCAGTCCAGTTTTATTTGTGTAGCACTTCCTGCAGTAAAGGTCCCAAATCTTTCCAAAATGCTGTGTTTATTGTTTTTCAGCTGTACTGCATTACGGCCCTTTATTACTGTTCAACAATACTGCAACTGTGTGTTACTGTTATTATAATACCAACAGTAACTGTAACATAAATACCTCAATACCTTATTTTTAAATACATATACATATAAATATATATAGTAAACATATATGTAGTTTTTTGTCTATACACACACAGGCACACACGCGTTTTGTATTCTGTGTATATTTACAATATACAGTATAGTGATGGTCCCAGTTATACTGTATAGTATTGTATAGTATTTCATGCTTTACATTTTCATATTCTGTTATTTTTACCTTACTTATATGTGCTGCACACACTTAAAATGATGGTTCTTCAAAGGTTCTTTAGTAAAGAAAATGGTTCTATATAGAACCATGAACACTCAAAGAACCCTTTGCATGATTACAGGGTTCTTTGCATGGTAAATCGTTCATCAGATTGATGGAGAATGTGCTGTATATGGTTCTATATAGATCCTTTTTTAAAAGGTTCTGTATAGCACCAAAAAAGGTTCTGCTGTTGTTATGATGTCAAGCTTGCTACTATAGGAGAATCCTTTTGGGTGCTGTATAAGGTTCTATATAGAACCACCTAATGCACATTCTCCATCAACCTGGAGAACCATTTGACCATGCAAAGAACCCTGTAATCATGCAAAGAGTTCTTTGAGTGTTCATGGTTCTATATAAAACCATTTTATTTACTAAAGAACCCTTGAAGGGTGATCGTGTTTACGTGTGCGTGTTGGTCTTAAGTGCATGCTGCTGGAACACTCTCCCTCAGTGTTACCTTGTCTTAAATCAACGTTGATCCAGAAATGCAGCCCCCCTAATGAGAGGAACCAAGATTCCAAAGCAGAAACTCCCTAAAACAAAGAGGAGGAACCTCTGAGAAGAACCAAGACCAACCTAGGCCTCATTGGACAGAGCAGTTAGGATACAGATCAGATTAGATATGATAAGATTAGATAAGATAAGATCAGATAAGGCAGGAGGATTGTTCACCCAGCGGTCACTTGATGACACACTGATGAACCTTCAGTTGCTTTGTTTACGCTACCGTTATCACTTGTAGCAGACAGTAGCAGCTTTAATCCCCACTGAATTATTATGCAGGACAATCCCAAATGTGCAAATTGGCCAAGCTCTGCTCACTGAAAGCCTCTCCAGACAAATTTGCATTGCTATAAGCATCTCTACTGTGCCTTACACTACAAAGCAAGCGTCTGTGTGTGAGTGGAGATGTATTTAAATGTCATTCTGACGGATTTGTGCTCTCTACTGAGAGTGATCCAGCTCCAGTATGTCAGTGAGGAAAGTACTTTTCACTCAGTTCCATTTTAGTCATTAATAATGAATTCCTAATTCTACTTCCGGGGCTTTATTTCATTCGGCAGTGTTGGTTCAGCTCCTGGACTGCTTTACTGTAGTTCACACCTCTCATTTAAAGGGGAGCCCCACCCATTTTTCAAAACATCTGCATGATTAAACAGTTAAGATGTAATCAGAGCGGTTCAGAGTGGTTTGGTGTGAAACTCTCTGTTCTAGAGAAACTTACCGAGTCAGAACTGTTCACAGTGGTGGTGATAGAAACCAGACGTCCCCCTCTAAAAGCTCCTCACAGAAAGTTCCTACATGAAATGGTTATGAATTCACTGCCTGATGACTGAGACACTGTTTTATGATAGTTTAGAGAACTTAAACTCCATTCATGGTGGAGGGATACATGCAGGGCGCTGTGAGGCAAAATAGTCCCCAAAGAAAACTTATTATTTCAGATTTTCCACTATTTTCCATCATCAACATTCCATATAAACTCAGAAGACTCGTGTAGGTTCACTGGTGGTTCTGGATAGTAAATAAAATGTCTATATCTGTGTTGTAGTCATGGCGACCCCTGGTTCCTATCAGCACCACTGTAAAGACATCTGAGCCATTTCACACCAAACCACTCTGAACCTCTCTGATTTGAGTTATGCAGGAATTTTGGAAAATCGGTGGAATTCCCCTTTAAGAGCTTTAGCATTATTATAGACCAAAGAAGATATGATAGATAATAATAATGGAGGTACTAAGAAGTTGCACCGGGTTTCTAGACTTTCTTAAATTTCTCTTCTGTCGTCACTTCATTGCATGGTTTTCCCAATTCAACCTAGTAAAAGGAGCGTCTACTGCTAATTATGCAACCAGCGAGGGTCCATTCCGCCCAATCACGAGCAGGCAGAACGTCCTTGGCGATGAATATACATGTTGGCCACGCCCCAGTGCTATATCTATATATACTGCATTGCAGCTCTGTGGAGCTGCTAGTGAGAATGAAGTTGTTGTATCGGAGCTGAATCTGTTCGCGATATTCATTTCATGTTCTTTTTATTAAGGGTGTTCAGCCTCTCTAGTGTTATTTTTGGTGTTATTTGTATTATATAGTCATGACAGAAGACGTAAACGTGAGCGGACAGGAGTCCGGAGCTGCCCCGGAGCAGGCTGCGGTCAAAGCGGAGGAGAAGCAGGCGAACGAGGCGGAGGAGAAGAAGGAGAACGGCGGAGACGGGAGAGGGGAGGAGGCTGCGGGGAAAGCGGACCCAGCCGAAGCCGAGTTCGTGCACCCGGAGGGCGGCTGGGGCTGGGTGGTCATGCTGGCCTCCATGTGGTGCAACGGCTCGGTGTTCGGGATCCAGAACGCCTTCGGCATCCTGTTCGTGTCCCTTCTGAAGGAGTTTGGCTCGGAACACGACGAAGACCTGCGGTTCAAGACCGGTAAAGTCAACTTTTTACCTGTTCGTTTGCAGTTTTTGACATTAGCCGCTCACATGCTGTCACAATGTGAAGCCCTTTTCGCCTATAAATAGATTCTATAAGTTTAAAAAGTGTAGGAAAACGACGAGACCCGTTCTACCTTAAAAGGTGCTGCAGTAGCTGCTGCACCATTTAAGGTGGAACGGAGAAATTCGAATAAGATGACCAGACCTTTGTGCGAAAATGTCAGCTGTGGCTTGTGAAGTACATGTATCGATTGTTTGGGGACGATGAGGCCCAGTTCATCGATGGTTTTGGATTATAACGGACAATTTATCGGTGATTTAGGACTATAAGGTTTACTTCGTGGTGATTTGTGGCTTACAAAGTATATGAAAATGTCGTTAATGGCTTATAAAGTGCAGTTTATCATCTGATTTTGGGTTCTAAACTACAGTTTGTCGCTTATGTTCTGGCTCTGTGAGGTACTTTGTCGTAGTTTGTGGTTTACAGTAGTGTAGTTTAGCCGTTAGCATCTCCTCACAGGGCAGAGTTTCGTTGAAAAAAGCTGAAGCCGCTCGCGCGTAGCGCACGTGGAGATTTAAAACAGCCTCGCGCGCCAGCTGCGTTAGCCACACGGCTAATGCGTCTCTGAGGAGAAACTAAAGGGGCGGATTACAGCCTTATAGACGGTTTAATACTGCCTGTAATCACTGCTTATTACTCGGATGTGTTATAAACGTGTGGGTGTACGTCAAAAGCGTGGAAAGTGAAAGGGCTGGTTTGTTTTCTGCGGAGGTGTTGTGGTTTAGTGGATTAGTGAAGTTAAAGAGCGTTAAAGTGACGGTGCTGATAGAATTAGAGCGAAATCGAGGCTTCCAATTTGAATTTTCCGTTCCACCTTAAACGGGACAGCAGTTGCGTCTGGTAGGACCTGAGCTGATATGGAGGAGCGCAGGACTTTCATTTCCATAACATGTTGTGGAGAAAAGAGAATGAAAATTCTGAAGCTTTTGAAAACAAAAAAGAAAATAGAAAATATCTTGGGAAAGGAATGGACATCCTGAAGCTATTTTAGGAGAGAAAGTGAAAATCCAGAGAATAATTTGGAAAATGGGAAAATTCTGGAAATATTTTGGAAAAAAATCTGAAATTGTTTAGGTAAAAGCCTGGAAAATCATAAACACCTGAGAAAAATTATGGAAATAGTTTGGAAATTTAAAAAAAAGTTTTGGAAAAGTATGGAAATTCAGAAAGTACTTTGGAAAAAATATACATCCTAAAACTCTTTTGAGGAAAACAATGGAAATTCTGAAAATATTTCAGAAAAGGTATGAAAGTTTAACAGGTTTTGGAAAAGTATGGAAATTCAAACATGTTTTGATAAAAATGTGGAACATGAAAAATGTTTTTGGAAAAGTGTGGGAATTCAGGAAATACTTTGGAAAAATAGACATCCTGAAAGTCAACTGAGGAAAATAATATACAAATTTGAAAGTATAGTGTGGAAAATGGAAGGCACGGAAATTCAGCAAGGTTTTGGAAAAAGTATGGAAATTCAGAACATGTTTCAGAGAAGTATGAAATTTCAGGAAATGTTTTGGGAAGATTTTTAGTGTATTAACATTTAAAATCCTGCTCAAAAACAGTTTTTTTCCATGTTTTGCCCTCCCTGCAGTCACTGACAAACGACAAGAAAACTGGTAGAAAACCTAGGAAGTTAAAGCAGTAATTTGTAGGAAAGCGTCAGACTTTCCGCAGCGCCTCCTGCAGACTGCAGGCTGAACAGTGAGGGTCAGTGACCTGTCACAGTGCTGGACTGAGTGACCGGTAATCTAGCGAGAGTTTACTGCGCTGTAAAAGCTCTGAAATGAGGTTTATTTATCATCAGTGTAGGTGGAAGTTTTTGGATAGTAAACTTTTCCGTGATTGATGACGGTTATAACGCGTTTACAGTGCAGCTCTGGCTGCACACAACTCTGGGTTCTGTTGTGGCTTCTAAAGCCTCAGTCTGAGAAAAAGGCAGATTACACAAAAAATCAAAATTCTGAGAGCTGCCCCTGACTGTGATTGGTCCAGTCACTTTATTCTTCAGGATTTGAGTGGAGTATGCCTCACAGCCTCGCAGCGTCACTGCCTCACATTCTCACAGCATCATAGCCTCACTGCCTCGCATTCTCACAGCATCGTAGCCTCACTGCCTCGCATTCTCACAGCATCATAGACTCACTGCCTCGCATTCTCACAGCCTCACATCCTCACTGCCTCGCATTCTCACAGCATCATAGACTCACTGCCTCACATTCTCACAGCCTCACTGCCTCGCATTCTCACAGCCTCACTGCCTCGCATTCTCACGGCCTCACATTCTCACAGCCTCACTGCCTCGCATTCTCACGGCATCACAGCCTCACAGCCTTTCATTCTCGGTGTCACTGCCGCACTGCCTCTCATTGTCAAAGCATCATAGCCTCACTGCCTTGCATCCTCACTGCATCACAGCCTCAGTGCCTCGCATTCTCACAGTATTACAGCCTCACTGCCTTGCATTCTCACAGCCTCACTGCCTCGCATTCTCATAGTGTCTCAGCCGCACTGCCTTACCGTCACATACACGTCCACGCAGCTGTGAGCGGAGGTGATGGGGGGTGTTCTTGCTGATGATTGGTCAGGGTGGGGGTGAGGGAGGGAAAACGAGCTCAGGTATTATTGATTAGTATCATTTTTCCCACTCGCTGGATCACAGTGACGCAATCAAACGTCCGATATTATTTGGAGGCGGCGAGCGATGACAGTGGGTTCTGATTAATGTGACTAACACCGTAAGAAGGTCCTCTGTGGTTTCAGCTTGTCTTTGAAGTGTGTTTACGGCAGGGAGTTCGGCAGTTGTTTGGTTTTGTTTACTCCTTTTGTTGTTTAGTGTTTACTGCAGTTTTACGAGCTCTTAGATCTCCACACCGAACGTGTCTCGGCCGGTTGAACTACGTTAGGGTGGGGGGCGGTGGGGTGGGGGGGCAGGGTATATTTTAAGCTGGACTGTAGTGTGACGTGAAGGTTGGTGGGGGGTTATTGTGAAACTCTGAATGTTTACTAACTTGTGTGAGCTTAATCAGAACACACACACACACGCGCACACACACACACACACACACGCGCACGCGCACACACACACACACACACACACACACTCACACACACACACACACACACTCACACACACTCACACACACACTCACACACACACACACACACACACACACACTCACACACACACTCACACACACACACACACACACTCACACACACACACACACACACACTCACACACACACACTCACACACACACACACACTCACACACACACACACTCACACACACACACACACACACACTCACACACTCACACACACACACTCACACACACACACACACACACACTCACACACACACACACACACTCACACACACACACTGAGATCATCATCTTTCTCTGCTTCATCAAACGGAAGTGTGTGTGTGTGATCAGACTCAGGTGATTAAAGAGCACAGGTGTGTGTGTGTGTGTGTGTGTGTGACTGTTACAGGGTGTTTATCTGTAATGGGGGGTGAAGATTGCATCAGCACACACACTGACCAGCTGTCTCACACACACACACACACACACACACTGTCCTACTCTGAAAGCTTGTGCCCCCTCTGGGAGACCCTGGAACTGTTCTACCGGACGAGAGACATTTATGCCTTATTGCTCTCTCTCTCTCTCCCCTGCTCTCACTTTTGTGTCTCTCTCTTGTTCTTTCTCTCTTTCATGTCTCATTTTCTTTCCTTTCCCCTCTCCATCTATGTCTGTCTCTCTGACTGTCTGCCTTTCTCTCTCTTTCTTTGTTTGTCTCTTTCTTTCTCTCCCTCCTCCCCTCCTTCCCCTCTCTCTCTGTATATGTGTGTATGTATGGTTGGCCTATGATGTCACATCTACAAACAGCTGGGTGTGTTGTGTAGATGGGTGGATGTCACTTATCTGAAGTCTCCACACACACAGCTGTTTGGAGATGTTCTGTATGTTGTGTAGGGTCTGTAGAATTTATCTACACCAAAAAACTCATATAACCACGGAGCCGACCTCACAGGAGTCATCAGTGTAACCGTGGGCAATTCCACCAAATTTTCAAATTTTCTTTAATGTCTGGTTCCTGTCACAACCGCTGCGCTGTAAGGCCAAATAAGTTCACATACCTTAAAAAAATTAAGGTAAGCCGTTGCCCTAAAAAATAAATTTAAGCATAAATGCTGCATAATTAAGTGGTTTAGATGTAATCAGAGCGGTTCAGAGTGGTTTGGTGTGAAACACTCCGTTCTAGATAAACTTACCGAGTCAGAACTGTTCACAGTGGTGGTGATAGGAACCAGACGTCCACCTCTAAAAGCTCCCTCACAGAAAGTTCCTACATGAATTCACTGCCTGATGACTGAGACACTGTTTTATGATAGTTTAGAGAACTTAAACTCCATTCATGGTGGAGGGATACATGCAGGGCGCTGTGAGGCAAAATAGTCCCCAAAGAAAACTTATTATTTCAGATTTTCCACTATTTTCCATCATCAACATTCCATATAAACTCAGAAGACTCGTGTAGGTTCACTGGTGGTTCTGGATAGTAAATAAAATGTCTATATTTGTGTTGTAGTCATGGCGACCCCTGGTTCCTGTCACCACCACTGTAAGAGATCTGAGTCTGTACATTTTTTCTTCAGTGAACCATTTCACAACAAACCAGAATGAATCACTCTGTTTACGTCTCAAGGAATTGGTGGGGTTCCTCTTTATGCTGAACACTGCATGTTAGCATAAGCAAAATTTTTGTGTTAAATTAACGTAAACGCATGTTTGTGCAACTTATACTAGTTCATTATTTTAATTTAACTTATTGACTTAGTCAAACCTAAAATCCCAATTTCATTAGGTTTAAGGAGCTGTTTAACCCTCTGGGGTCTGAGGTTATTCTCTGGATTTGTTCATCTCT